AAGCATTACGGAAGAGATGACTAGCATGACCGAGCAGGAGGAAGAAGAGGGCAGCGAAACCTGGCAACCATCTGCTGCCACTGGCACTACTGCGCTCCCTCGATCCTCCTATACTACTCCTACATCTACTGCTACTGACGAGATGACGACTTCTATTATGACAGATGCAAGCAGCACCACGGCATTGCAGCCTTCAAGCGCTACCGCTGTCTCTACATCTGCCGAGCCTAGTTTAGATGGAAGCATTACGGAAGAGATGACTAGCATGACAGAGCCTTTGATATCTGCGCATACCATGTTCTCAACCGTTTCGACTCAGATGTCTGGCGAATCTTTTGCGCCATTCGTCAATTCCTCAAAGGCTTTCGAACCCTTATCTCTGTCGAATCGTACTACCGTTCCCGATTTGCCATACAATATGACCTCACTGTCTCCGGGGCTATCTTCCACGTCATGTGAAACGTCAAGTTCGCAGAGGCCTGTGCTTACATCCAGCGAATCCTTACAGGCAGCTGAATCTTCCGCAGCCGTGAGCGAGGCATCGAATGCAACTGAGCCTTCCTCTTCATCTGCTAAGGTCTGTGGTAATGTCTGTTTCTGGATTTTATTAATAGAGTCATTTTGCTTTGTGGCGGTTGTGATAGGCCTTTTGTACGTCATAATGAGACATTTTGCTTTAATGCTCTGGAATCCTTGGGCCTTGTTACGAATGGGATGAATGCTCACTTGCCACCGATGCCGCTATCCTTTATAATAATTCCACCTGTCCTTTGGGGTTTTTCCATGAGCCAATATATCCTTTTGGATCCTTTGATTGGCATTCATCGGTAATTCATAATCTTACCTGTGATAGTCCTTTGCCTCACTTTGTCGTACTTTTATTTCTACACAGAATTCTGAATTGATTATATTTGTTACGCATTATCCCAACTTTTTTAAGTTCTTACAGGAACTGGCACGCTACACTTCAACTGATTTGAATTACGGCCTCAATAGCGGAGATTTGACCCATTGTTATTGGTCTTCACTGATCGGTGTAGACAGGCGATTTCGTCATGTCGAGGGTATCATGCTCGGCTCGTCTTGCCTTGTTTTTAGCGTAGGATCGCAGTATCGGTCACTTTGACTCGCCAAATACCTTCAGCGTAGAGTATAACTGAAAACACGCAATTGTAGATATACCGTAGGTGGTCTTGTAGGAGTCTTATCCGTGAGTCTGTTCAGAGCACAACAGTTATCACGCCCAGTTCGGTCCACAAGGAAAAGAGGTAAGACCAGTAGGTGTCGTTTATTGTGTACAGTAACTAAGTGGTGGTCTGAAACCCCGACGCGCGGCAGGCCCCGGGTCCTGCGCACACATCTGTTTGTTAGCGTGGTGTGGGCGTGGATGCATAAATGTCATGCGAGATTGAATCACTGGCCGTTTGAGCAACTGCTTGGCCAATAGCAGTCTGCGACACCTGTGATTGGCTGAACCAGAAGCTG